TACCACGTAGGGTGTTTGAGTTATTGATACCACCTAGGGTGTTTGAGTTATTGATACCACGTAGGGTGTTTGAGTTATTGATACCACGTGGGGTGTTTGAGTTATTGATACCACGTGGGGTGTTTGAGTTATTGATACCACGTGGGGTGTTTGAGTTATTGATACCACGTAGGGTGTTTGAGTTATTGATACCACGTGTGGTGTTTGAGTTATTGATACCACGTAGGGTGTTTGAGTTATTGATACCACGTGGGGTGTTTGAGTTATTGATACCACGTGGGGTGTTTGAGTTATTGATACCACGTAGGGTGTTTGAGTTATTGATACCACGTGTGGTGTTTGAGTTATTGATACCACGTAGGGTGTTTGAGTTATTGATACCACGTAGGGTGTTTGAGTTATTGATACCACGTGTGGTGTTTGAGTTATTGATACCACGTGGGGTGTTTGAGTTATTGATACCACGTGGGGTGTTTGAGTTATTGATACCACGTAGGGTGTTTGAGTTATTGATACCACGTGGGGTGTTTGAGTTATTGATACCACGTAGCGTGTTTGCCTGAGTTATTGATACCACGTAGCAGTGGCGTAGGCAGGGGGGGGTTAGGGGGGGTCATAACCCCCCCCATAGACCCCTCGGTATATATAAAAAGTATGAGGGGGGGTGCAAATCGAAAGTTTGAGGGGGGGTGCAAATCGAAAGTTTGAGGGGGGGGGGGTGCAAATCGAAAGTTTGAGGGGGGGTGCAAATCGAAAGTTTGAGGGGGGGGGGGTGCAAATCGAAAGTTTGAGGGGGGGGGGGTGCAAATCGAAAGTTTGAGGGGGGGGGGTGCAAATCGAAAGTTTGTCCCCGGGTAAAAATTGGAACCCCCCCCTTGAGACGATCCTGGCTACGCCACTGCCACGTAGGGTGTTTGAGTTATTGATACCACGTGGGGTGTTTGTTTGAGTTATTGGTCCATATATGTCAACATACCGCTGGGGCTGTATGTGAAGAGCTTGATGTCAACATACCGCTGGGGTTGTATGTGAAGAGCTTGATGTCAATGGATGGACACGACAACAACGTTTGCCCGTAATGCTCATGTTCCTTGCCCATTGACCTATAGGAGAGAATACTAAAAAAATGCAGAAAACTTGTACTATTGCACTATTGTAGATTCCATATTGCCAGATTTCAGTTTCTGTAGGAACCTTCCCACCAACACACAAAACTGCTCGCTATGACCAAATCTAACCAACCAACCAAGGGACCGTTGTGACTGGACCTAGCCACCAAACGACTGCTCACAATGACCGGACCTACCCACCAAACGACTGGACCAAAAGACCTTTGTGACCAAACGACTGCTCACAATGACCGGACCTACCCACCAAACGACTGGACCAAAAGACCTTTGTGACCAAACGACTGCTCACAATGAATTATAAAACGCCCGCCACAGCGCGGATAACATGGCCCCCGAGCCTTTGATTCCCCCCGACCTTAACCCCCCCCCCCCCCCCGACCTTACCCCCCCCCCCCAACACCCCCACCCCCACGGTCGACTTATCGGGATTGCCATGATAAACAACTCCACTGGGGATTAATTATACAAGAGCAAAAAGTAAGTCAATAGTTTTAGTGGTCTCTTGATGGGTTCTAGACTAGACAAGAGTCTTAGAGGTCCCTAGTCTTGATGGGATCTAGGCTAGACAGTAGAGGTCCCTAGTCTTGATGGGTTCTAGACTAGACAGTAGAGGTCCCTAGTCTTGATGTGTTTTAGGCTAGACAAGTCTTAGAGGTCCCTAGTCTTGATGGGATCTAGACTAGACAGTAGAGGTCCCTAGTCTTGATGTGTTTTAGGCTAGACAAGTCTTAGAGGTCCCTAGTCTTGATGGGTTCTAGGCTAGACAGTAGAGGTCCCTAGTCTTCTTGGGTTCTAGGCTAGACAGTAGAGGGCCCTAGTCTTGATGGGTTCTAGACTAGACAGTAGAGGTCCCTAGTCTTGATGGGATCTAGACTAGACAGTAGAGGTCCCTAGTCTTGATGGGTTCTAGGCTAGACAGTAGAGGTCCCTAGTCTTGATGGGATCTAGACTAGACAGTAGAGGTCCCTAGTCTTGATGGGATCTAGACTAGACAGTAGAGGTCCCTAGTCTTGATGGGTTCTAGGCTAGATAGTAGAGGTCCCTAGTCTTGATGGGATCTAGGCTAGACAGTAGAGGTCCCTAGTCTTGATGGGTTCTAGGCTAGATAGTAGAGGTCCCTAGTCTTGATGTGTTTTAGGCTAGACAAGTCTTAGAGGTCCCTAGTCTTGATGTGTTTTAGGCTAGACAAGTCTTAGAGGTCCCTAGTCTTGATGGGTTCTAGGCTAGACAGTAGAGGTCCCTAGTCTTCTTGGGTTCTAGGCTAGACAGTAGAGGTCCCTAGTCTTGATGGGTTCTAGACTAGACAGTAGAGGTCCCTAGTCTTGATGTGTTCTAGGCTAGACAGTAGAGGTCCCTAGTCTTGATGTGTTTTAGGCTAGACAAGTCTTAGAGGTCCCTAGTCTTGATGGGTTCTAGGCTAGACAGTAGAGGTCCCTAGTCTTGATGTGTTTTAGGCTAGACAAGTCTTAGAGGTCCCTAGTCTTGATGGGTTCTAGGCTAGACAGTAGAGGTCCCTAGTCTTGATGGGTTCTAGGCTAGACAGTAGAGGTCCCTAGTCTTGATGGGTTCTAGGCTAGACAGTAGAGGTCACTAGTCTTGATGGGTTCTAGGCTAGACAGTAGAGGTCCCTAGTCTTGATGTGTTTTAGGCTAGACAAGTCTTAGAGGTCCCTAGTCTTGATGGGTTCTAGGCTAGACATTAGAGGTCCCTAGTCTTCTTGGGTTCTAGGCTAGACAGTAGAGGTCCCTAGTCTTGATGGGTTCTAGACTAGACAGTAGAGGTCCCTAGTCTTGATGGGTTCTAGGCTAGACAGTAGAGGTCCCTAGTCTTGATGGGTTCTAGGCTAGACAGTAGAGGTCCCTAGTCTTGATGGGTTCTAGGCTAGACAGTAGAGGTCCCTAGTCTTGATGTGTTTTAGGCTAGACAAGTCTTAGAGGTCCCTAGTCTTGATGGGTTCTAGGCTAGACAGTAGAGGTCCCTAGTCTTCTTGGGTTCTAGGCTAGACAGTAGAGGTCCCTAGTCTTGATGGGTTCTAGACTAGACAGTAGAGGTCCCTAGTCTTGATGGGTTCTAGGCTAGACAGTAGAGGTCCCTAGTCTTGATGGGTTCTAGGCTAGACAGTAGAGGTCCCTAGTCTTGATGGGTTCTAGGCTAGACAGTAGAGGTCCCTAGTCTTGATGGGTTCTAGGCTAGACAGTAGAGGTCCCTAGTCTTGATGTGTTTTAGGCTAGACAAGTCTTAGAGGTCCCTAGTCTTGATGGGTTCTAGGCTAGACAGTAGAGGTCCCTAGTCTTCTTGGGTTCTAGGCTAGACAGTAGAGGTCCCTAGTCTTGATGGGTTCTAGACTAGACAGTAGAGGTCCCTAGTCTTGATGGGTTCTAGGCTAGACAGTAGAGGTCCCTAGTCTTGATGGGTTCTAGGCTAGACAGTAGAGGTCCCTAGTCTTGATGGGTTCTAGGCTAGACAGTAGGCTTAGAGGTCCCTAGTCTTGATGGGTTCTAGGCTAGACAGTAGAGGTCCCTAGTCTTCTTGGGTTCTAGGCTAGACAGTAGAGGTCCCTAGTCTTCTTGGGTTCTAGGCTAGACAGTAGAGGTCCCTAGTCTTGATGGGTTCTAGACTAGACAGTAGAGGTCCCTAGTCTTGATGGGTTCTAGGCTAGACAGTAGAGGTCCCTAGTCTTGATGGGTTCTAGGCTAGACAGTAGAGGTCCCTAGTCTTGATGGGTTCTAGGCTAGACAGTAGGCTTAGAGGTCCCTAGTCTTGATGGGTTCTAGGCTAGACAGTAGAGGTCCCTAGTCTTGATGGGTTCTAGGCTAGACAGTAGGCTTAGAGGTCCCTAGTCTTCTTGGGTTCTAGGCTAGACAGTAGAGGTCCCTAGTCTTGATGGGTTTTAGGTTAGTCAAGTGTTCTGAGATATATTGTTCAAATGTTCCCTGTGAGTATCTACATAAATCTTCTGTCATCGATTGTTCCCTACAGGTCAACACAGAAGTTCCCTGACACGTATCGGTCCCATGGCTATAAATATTCGCCCACCTCCCGGTAGACCCCCCTCCCCCTGTTGCAATTGTGCTCAAGCCAGATAAGAATCTACTCCCAAGTGTTTGTATCGCAACTTATAAATGCTAATCTTGAAAAGCTTTACGATCAAAGTCTTAGAACGCTATTTAAATTCATCGATCTGCGAACTTTCATTGGTTGTAACTTATATGGCGCCGTAGTGTTGCAGGGGAGCCAACTTGTTTGGGGCGGCGGGGGGTCCCGTTACACCTGTGTGTTGGTGTGGGGCCGCTAGAGTTAAATATAGACTGAATTGTGGACGTGGGGGGGGGGGGGGTGTCGTTAAATATATAACGATCTCGTCTACTCTTCAGTATAATACTAGTGTGTGGTTTTAATTTATTTTTAGCTCTATAGCAATAACAAAATGACTTTGAATGATCCGAATATAATTAAAAAACAAACACCCCCCCCCCCCCTAAAAAAACAACAAACAACAAAACAATTGAATAAATTAGTACTAAACTTTCCATAGTTTGAAAAAATATGATTGAGGGCGGGGTGGGGGGTTTGGGGAGGGGGGGGTAATTACAGGGTTAGGGTGGTGTTTTAAAGTGTTTGAGCTAAACCTAGAGTAGACCACTGTTACTTAAGTAGTAAAGTTAAGTTGCTATGTTACATAGCTAGTTTTACGACGGAGGCATAGCTCAGGTGAGGGGGGGGGGGATACTGCAAAAATGTTCTATTAGGCACCAAACGATGTTCTCGAACCTTCTAACTTGGTTCTCTATCCAAAGCTACTTTACATCTTCCCCCCCCCCCCCCCATACACATGTTGATGTATTTATTTTTTTATATTTTTCCCCCCAGGAAAACGGAGAAATGGTGGCCATCAAAAAGTTCAAGGACAGCGAGGGTAAGGCTTGGCCGACAAACTGTTTGATGTCTCCGTGATCTAGCACACATCGCCTTTTACCACAACATATTCCGTCTTTAGACTCCTTTAACGGACCCATATTCCGTCTTTAGACTCCTTTAACGGACCCATATTCCGTCTTTAGACTCCTTTAACTGACCCATATTCCGTCTTTAGACTCCTTTAACTGACCCATATTCCGTCTTTAGACTCCTTTAACGGACCCATATTCCGTCTTTAGACTCCTTTAACGGACCCATATTCCGTCTTTAGACTCCTTTAACGGACCCATATTCCGTCTTTAGACTCCTTTAACGGACCCATATTCCGTCTTTAGACTCCTTTAACGGACCCATATTCCGTCTTTAGACTCCTTTAACTGACCCATATCCCGTCTTTAGACTCCTTTAACGGACCCATATTCCGTCTTTAGACTCCTTTAACTGACCCATATTCCGTCTTTAGACTCCTTTAACGGACCCATATTCCGTCTTTAGACTCCTTTAACGGACCCATATTCCGTCTTTAGACTCCTTTAACTGACCCATATTCCGTCTTTAGACTCCTTTAACTGACCCATATTCCGTCTTTAGACTCCTTTAACGGACCCATATTCCGTCTTTAGACTCCTTTAACTGACCCATATTCCGTCTTTAGACTCCTTTAACTGACCCATATTCCGTCTTTAGACTCCTTTAACTGACCCATATTCCGTCTTTAGACTCCTTTAACTGACCCATATTCCGTCTTTAGACGGCTTTAACTGACTCACATTTCGTCTTTAGGCGCCTTTAACTGTGCCATCTACCTTCGTGAACCAAAATGGCCGTCACAAATAATTTATTTGTTCCGTGTGTTTTCATTGGATCAATTTTCCATTGACCTTCAATAACAAATCACATTGAGGCGGGCTTGGGAGGTTTGACTAAAATACGAACCGAAACCTCCTTACCAGTGGCGTAGCCAGGAAGTGGTCAAAGGAGGGATTCAAACATTTTTCCTTATGTATAAAATCAATTATATATATATATATATATATATATATATATATATATATATATATATATATATATATATATATATATATATAGGGGTAGGGGTCCAAGGGAGGGGTTATAACCCCCCCCCCCCCCAACCCCCTTGCCTACGCCACTGCTCCTTACATTAAAAACTCACTAAACATGAAGTCATTACAGCTATACGATACAAAGTGGCTTAACATACCGTTTTAATATTATATATTAAACGGTTTTAGTATTCATCTTTCCAAAGAAATTTTTTATTTATTTTCTTGTCCTATTTCTAAAATCCATTGTTAAAAAATTGTTAATATTTTTAAAAGAGCAGAAGTCAGATCAAAAGAGGAATTGTTCTTCTGTATTAATAGGTTCCGCATTAAATATTCCTCATCGCATTGTCTCGCCTAGGCCCGGCCATTGTGACAATGACAGTTATTGATTGCAGACCTACCCGCCTATACCATCGGTCGAGACAAGCTCTCAACAGATCAATTCAAAGATATCAAGTGTTATATTACCGTTGAGGAATGTTATTGTTATGTTATTCCTGTCGCCGCGCCATTGTGCGAACCATAACGAAGTAGTTGGGCTGTACAAATAGATCGCAGCGCCTCTAGATACGCCAAGCTGGTTCGGCGTATGAATCTTTGTCTTCACTCGGTCGTGGATCCGCCAGTCCAACACTGACGTTTGTAGGCTTTAAATAGAAATATTTTTCAAAACTCTGGCCGAAACCGTGCCTGTTTTTTTGTGTGGCATTCCAGCCACGCTGTGTGACGTCATACCGTGTCATCACCATGGACGTCACGTCATTGATTAACGTCGTTAAAATTAAATTAACTAAGCCGAAAAAAGCAACGCTAGGCACAGTTGCCATGTTTTTTTGTTTCAATTAAATCCACTGTAGCCTACTGAGCGGGGTAAACTTTTGTTTAAATGTTACTTTCAGTGTAGCTTTGGTAATGGCTAGCCTACTGAGCGGGGTAAACAAACACGTCTAGGGACAGCCTGGTGTATTGGTGTAGATGTGGTTTTAAACTGCTACAGTGGCTCTGGTCACAGTTATTTATGTGTCCACATGTGAAAATCTCAAGGATCTTTCTCTGTTGAAACATTTACTTGGGCTTTACTACGGTGGTATCTTTAGCAAATGATATAAAAGTCATCCAAGTCAAAGTCATCCAAATCTAAGTCTTTCCTAAGTCATTCAAATCAAATGCTTTCAAATCAAAGTCATACAAATCAAATGCTTTCAAATCAAAGTCCTTCAAATCAAAGTCCTTCAAATCAAAGTCCTTCAAATCAGTCCTTCAAATCAAAGTCCTTCAAATCAAAGTCCTTCAAATCAAAGCCTTCAAATCAAAGTCCTTCAAATCAAAGTCATACAAATCAAATGCTAATCAGTCATCCAATCTCGTGCACTTTACGAGCCCCCCCCCCCCCCCGACTTACGTTAATTAAGGTGAGTAAAAGCGCCTGGGCATAGTGTTGACCACACATTTCATAAAACAAGGTCTGAGAAACAGTTAACTCTACTTCAACTGTCCCATGGACTGTCTGATCGGAAAGCGTCGTTTACTGACGATTAAAAACTAAATTATGTACCTTACCCTCTACGTCACCAACTAATGTGTATCATGTGACTTCGTGCAATGACTATTTTTAGAAAGATTGAAAACAACAGCCCCGTTGTTCATAGTACAGTGCGCACAGTGAAGACAGTGTCAGGCCGCTTTTGTTTTTCTTAAATATTACATGCGACAGGGGATAAATCACCGAATCAATCTTTTCATTGTCTCCCCCTTGTCTATCTAGAAGTTGATGGTCTTATGCTAACTTGTGAAGGACACGTACGTTATGATGTACATATGAGAATGCCGGTGTTGGGATCTCGTTGTACATAGGCATTGGCCCTCTTTGTACATAGGCATTGGCCCTCGTTGTACATAGGCATTGGTCTATAGTATGGGTGTATGTACATATACAGAGGTCTGTTGTCCTTATTTTGCGTTGTCCTTGTTTCTATGCACACAGGTCGAGGCATATGAGTGTATGAAAGTCTCTGATATAAGTGTGCTCGCTCATACTAATCATGATATATGTATGTATTTAGGCCTACTCATGAATTATAATTATATGTAGACTTGTCGTATGGGTATATGTGTTCATATAGTCTGTTATATGGACATCTACATGTATGTGGACTGGCCTGATGCCATTGGTCCATTGAATGTTGTAGACGTCATCCTTAATATCTGTGTTAGTTATCCCCAATATCTGTCATTTAGCCCAAATATCTGTGTTAGTTAGCCCTATTATCTGTGTCAGTCAGCCCTAATATCTGTGTCAGCGCAAATATCTGTGTCAGTTAGCCCTAATATCTGTGTCATTCAGTCCTAATGTTTGTGTCAGTTAGCCCTTATATCTGTGTCAGTCAGCCCTAATATCTGTGTTAGTTAGCCCAAATATCTGTGTTAGTCAGCCCTATTATCTGTGTCAGTTAGCCCAAATATCTGTGTCATTCAGCCCTAATGTTTGTGTCAGTTAGCCCTAATATCTGTGTCAGTCAGTCCTAATGTTTGTGTCAGCCCTTAGCGACGTGCTTCAAGACGCAATAGCCATCAAAGAAACGACAAACATAGTTAAATTTTTCTTCAAGCAGGTTCAAAGGTTAATGTCTAGTGATCACGCTACTGTCGCCATAGTTAGGGATTAGTCAACCTATTTAGTTATTCTGTCTAGTCCCGTGCATCGCAAGCGTGCTGCTGGGCTGGAAGAGAGTATGCTAAATCCTTTGGGGGATTGTTATCATTCTGACCTGCAACTCACAAAAAGAAAACAAAAATTAAATGTTCAACAAATTGTCAAATGTGGACAGACATGCGCAGAAGATCGCCGCGCATCTAATGCACCAACCAAACGGGTGGATCTGCGGGTCACAAATGGCTGGCAAAAATAAAATAAAATGTAATGCATTTGAAAATAAAATCAGATTACGGGTACACGAACAACTTAAAAAAAAATTGGATTGTAATCTTGATATCACAGGAAGATTAAAAACAGACTTTACCATGGTCCCAGAAACAGACTTTACCATGGTCCCAGAAACAGACTTTACCATGGTCCCAGAAACAGACTTTACCGTGGTCCCAGAAACAGACTTTACCATGGTCCCAGAAACAGACTTTACCATGGTCCCAGAAACAGACTTTACCATGGTCCCAGAAACAGACTTTACCATGGTCCCAGAAACAGACTTTACCATGGTCCCAGAAACAGACTTTACCATGGTCCCAGAAACAGACTTTACCGTGGTCCCAGAAACAGACTTTACCATGGTCCCAGAAACAGACTTTACCATGGTCCCAGAAACAGACTTTACCATGGTCCCAGAAACAGACTTTACCGTGGTCCCAGAAACAGACTTTACCATGGTCACAAAAATAAGCCGCTTTTGGTCAATATTCAAGAGGGCTAACACAAAAATAAAATACCGAACTTAAAAGCTCTCCATTATTTCTTAGTTCCGGGTTAAGGCCAAGCCTCGATCTAGAATTACACCCCCCCCCCCACATAGCACACATCGTAAGAATGCCCGTGACGTCATAAATCGACTGACTATAACCACGCAATTATATCAGCGTCGTACGTCGACAATGGCAGCCCATTGTTGTGTTACTGACAACTATAAAAGCCCAATGTTGTGGTGGCTACAACCGTAAAAGTACACTGTTGTGGTACTGACGACTATAAAAGCCCAATGTTGTGGTACTGACGACTATAAAAGCCCATTGTTGTGGTAGCTACAACTGTAAAAGCCCAATGTTGTGGTGGCTACAACAGTAAAAGCCCAATGTTGTGGTACTGACTACAGTAAAAGTACACCGTTGTGGTACTGACAACTATAAAAGCCCATTGTTGTGGTACTGTCAACAGTAAAAGCCCAATGTTGTGGTACTGACAACAGTAAAAGCCCAATGTTGTGGTACTGACAACAGTAAAAGCCCATTGTTGTGGTAGCTACAACTATAAAAACCCATTGTTGTGGTACTGACGACTATAAAAGCCCAATGTTGTGGTACTGTCAACAGTAAAAGCCCATTGTTGTGGTAGCTACAACTATAAAAGCCCAATGTTGTGGTAGCAACTATAAAAGCCCAATGTTGTGGTAGCTACAACAGTAAAAGCCCAATGTTGTGGTACTGACAACTGTAAAAGCCCAATGTTGTGGTAGTGACAACAGTAAAAGCCCAATGTTGTAGTAGCTACAACTATAAAAACCCATTGTTGTGGTACTGACGACTATAAAAGCCCAATGTTGTGGTACTGTCAACAGTAAAAGCCCAATGTTGTGGTAGCTACAACTATAAAAGCCCAATGTTGTGGTAGCTACAACTATAAAAACCCATTGTTGTGGTACTGACGACTATAAAAGCCCAATGCTGTGGTACTCACAACAATAAAAGCCCAATGTGGTGGTAGCTGCAACAGTAAAAGCCCAATGTTGTGGTACTGTCAACAGTATAAGCCCAATGTTGTGGTAGCTACAACTGTAAAAGCCCAATGTTGTGGTACTGACGACTATAAAAGCCCAATGTTGTGGTACTGACGACTATAAAAGCCCAATGTTGTGGTACTGACGACTATAAAAGCCCAATGTTGTGGTACTGACGACTATAAAAGCCCAATGTTGTGGTACTGACGACTATAAAAGCCCAATGTTGTGGTACTGACGACTATAAAAGCCCAATGTTGGGGTAGCTACAACTGTAAAAGCCCAATGTTGTGGTACTGACGACTATAAAAGCCCAATGTTGTGGTACTGACGACTATAAAAGCCCAATGTTGTGGTAGCTACAACTGTAAAAGCCCAATGTTGTGGTACTGACGACTATAAAAGCCCAATGTTGTGGTAGCTACAACTGTAAAAGCCCAATGTTGTGGTACTGACGACTATAAAAGCCCAATGTTGTGGTACTGACGACTATAAAAGCCCAATGTTGTGGTAGCTACAACTGTAAAAGCCCAATGTTGTGGTACTGACGACTATAAAAGCCCAATGTTGTGGTACTGACAACAGTAAAAGCCCAATGTTGTGGGAGGTCAAATTGTAAACACGGAGTTGCCCGTCACCGCTCCATGACGTGTTACAACAAACAACAGCGTCACTAGACACGTGACCACACGTGACCACAAGAGGAAGATGGGGAAAGTCAATGAAAAGTTACGCCATTAAAATTTCATGATTTCGGCTCTGTAGTCAAAGCCTCGTTCCCATCAGTCACGTGACAGCCGGCCGTATATAAGGGTGAGTGGTCGATGTGTGTAGTCTTGACCTTACGCTACCACAGAGACCGACAGCTTTAAGGTTTGACGTCCGTGTGAAATGAACCAAGCTTGTTTATGGGATGGCTGGGCAGCATTCAACTCTCTCTTGTCAATACAACAAATTTAGTTTCGTAACAAATCATTCGTAGGCCTATTCTGTACTCACAACTTGCTAAAAATAGTAACATGAAGGGGCGGCTGTGGTTCATTGTTTTGTTATAGTGTGTTGTACACGGTGGGAGTAGTAGTGTTCTTAACACAGTTTTTTATTTGGAAAAAAAAATTGTCTACTACAATGTTGTAATGAATACTTTTTTGTTCAGCCGGCATACATATTTTACTCCGAGTGGGTCTTAGTGTTCACAAACCACAACCATCTCAATAGAACAACGCTGGTACCCTCTGTGACAAAAAAAAAAAAAAAAAAACAAATCCAGAAATTACATCGTTGGCTGAATCTGTCCCCAACACAACAGACGTACGGTCGTCAGACTTGGTGATTGGGATCTCAGTTGGTCAGCGAATATTGATTTTAAACATCGATCTCAAGGATATTGTTGAAAAATTAAACACTGATTAAAAAATATTATTGAAAAAAAAAGTCGCCCTTAAAAACATTGGACTCACAGAACAAAATCGTGACTGGCTATTGGTTGTCACATGACTATGAGATTGGAATTGATGTATTTGCAGGGGAAAAGGGGGGGGGGGTATAAGGGGTTCCTCTGTTTCGAATTTAATTTTCTTCCACCATAAGATACTTGACAACATAGGATTTAAAAAATAATTAGTCCTACATTTTCTTATGTAATATTTACCACGGGCCAGGAGTTTGGTGAAACTGCCCTACTGCTAGAGATGGCTTCCCACTCAACCCTCCCGCCTGACTCGGCTAAAATCTAAGTCTCTGTAAAAAATGTCAAATTTTGTTATTTTAATATCAGTAACTTAAATTTAGTTGTGCTTATCCAGCACATCCCATATGAGCCCAATGTTGGCCAAATATTGACAGTCAATACAGGCTACATCTTGGCCTAACATTGGCCCAACATTGGCCAAACTTTGCCTTAGCACTTGGTTAATTAGATGTACAATTGCCTCGAAGAATCTGCGTCTTCAGAAATTGTGTGTGTATGTGTGTGTGTTTGAATAGTTACATAGTATATGAAATGAGTACGAATATACGAGTGTGTTAACTACCTTCTTATTAGCCCTTATTTACACGCCAATGATATATTCGATTTGATTTAAACACACCATTTTCAACTAAGCACTAGACAACTGTGTTGTCAGTAAGGCGACATCTAGAAACTAATTAAAAACCGCATCAGATGTGAGACCCATTTTAATTTTTATGGGCTGTTCTCAGTTGCGATAATTGTTGCAAATCGAAAAGTAAAGTTAATTATGTTTTTGTGCTTGTGGTATCTGCAATGTGGGTTTATACATATTGTTTCTTTCTGACATGTGTTTATGATATTGTTTTTTAGACCCTTTTCTTCCGGGAGGGGCGGGGGAATTGGGGTGAGGGACTGGTAGTAGTATATATTTTGTATGTAAATTCTATTCCGCTCGAGGGGGGGGGGGGTTATTATAAACAAATTCTGTGTCTATTTCTATATTCCTCATAAGTTGAAGATACTTTTAATACATAGCCTATGTGTTGACATATAATTTAAACCTCTCTTATAAACTAGAAAATAAAGATACCAGTACAATATGTTATAAATAATTAATACGTAATGTAACTTCCTCCCGTAAATTCCCAGAAAATGAAGACGTACGACGTACCACCATGAGGGAACTAAAAATGCTGAGGTCACTGAAACAGGAGAACATTGTGGAGCTGAGAGAAGCCTTCAAACGGAAAGGGAAACTTTACTTGGTTTTTGAATATGTGGAGAAGGTTAGAACTGTTGTGGTGCATTAAAAGTTGGTCCAATGTAGAGTTGGTTAGAACATATTGTGGTGCATTAAAAGTTGGTCCCATATGGAGAAGGTTAGAACATATTGTGGTGCATTAAAAGTTGGTCCCATATGGAGAAGGTTAGAACATATTGTGGTGCATTAAAAGTTGGTCCCATATGGAGAAGGTTAGAACATATTGTGGTGCATTAAAAGTTGGTCTAATGTAGAGTTGGTTAGAACATATTGTGATGCATTAAAAGTTGATCCTATATGGAGAGTGTTAGAACAACTCCAAAATCTAACAGCTGCTGCCTTGTAGTTTGTTCTTGGTTGGACAATGGCTATGAAATCAAATCCAGAATGAAAGAGAAAAGCAGGCTGAAATCAGAGTCAATGGCTTATATGGCTCATAACCGGATGACATGTAATACTTAATTGTGTTGGTGAAAATCCCTTCCAACGTTACAATTAAGAAAGAAGAAAAAAAGAAGGATATTGGACAAAGTAATTTGTACAGAACAATAGGTAGGATTTTATAAAGTGTTGTCAACAATGTTTTACCTTTTTTTCAGAACATGCTAGAACTGCTCGAACCCTTCCCCAATGGGATACCTTTTGAAAAAACTAGGAGCTTGACCTACCAGCTATGTAAGGCAGTTCAGTGGTGTCATTCAAGGGACATCATTCATAGGGGTGAGTGGATGTCATGTGTCATTTATAGGGGTGAGTTGATGTGTCATTCATAGGGGTGAGTTGATGTGTCATTCATAGGGGTGAGTTGATGTGTCATTCATAGGGGTGAGTGGATGTCATGTGTCATTCATGGGGGTGAGTGGATGTCTTGTGTCATTTATAGGGGTGAGTGGATGTCATGTGTCATTCATCGGGGTGAGTGGATGTCTTGTGTCATTTATAGGGGTGAGTGGATGTCATGTGTCATTCATAGGGGTGAGTGGATGTCTTGTGTCATTTATAGGGGTGAGTGGATGTCTTGTGTCATTTATAGGGGTGAGTGGATGTCATGTGTCATTCATCGGGGTGAGTGGATGTCATGTGTCATTCATAGGGGTGAGTTAATGTCATGTGTCATTCATAAGGATAAGTTGATGTCATTTGTCATTTATAGTGTGATTTGATGTCATATGTCATTCTAGGGACATATTCATGGGGGCATCTAACCAGGTTTAAACCTGTAATCACAGCTACAACTACATTTCATGTCAGTTCATTTATGATCGATATTGATTTGTATTAGCATTGTTAATTAATCAAAACATATTTATCTCTTTATAATTAGAAATAAAGCTAGAAAACTATTGATTCATATTATCAGGTTTAATTAATCAAAACATTTTTCTCTTTATAATTAGATATCAAGCCAGAAAATCTCTTGATCAGCAAGGATGGAGTTCTTAAGCTTTGTGACTTTGGTACGTAACCATGGAGGGAGTTTAGTCAAGGGATTTAACATAATGCTCATACACACACACATGTACATACACACTTGCACATACACATGCACATACACTTTTACATGCACACATACACACTTGCACAAACACACTTGCATTTACATACACATCCCCAAACGCATGCACCTAAGCACACTTCACACATACACACACATATGCTCACACAGACACACACACCCCTGCCGCACACAACTGGAATAAGATGTGTTCAACTACTCACGGCTGACATGTTTACTGTCTGCAGGTTTTGCCCGCACTATTAACGCTGGCTCTAATGGTCTCTACACTGACTATGTTGCTACACGGTGGTACAGGTCACCTGAGCTCTTGATAGGGTAAGGTCATGTAGCCTTCTGTTTTAGGTCATGTGGTAGCCTTCTGTTTTAGGTCATGTGGTAGCCTTCTGTTTTAGGTCATGTGGTAGCCTTCTGTTTTAGGTCTTGTGGTAGCCTTCTGTTTTAGGTCATGTGGTAGCCTTCTGTTTTAGGTCATGTGCTAGCCTTCTGTTTTATGTCTTGTTGGTAGTCTGTTGCAGGTCTTGTTGGTAGTATATTTTGTAGGTACCTTCTATTTAAAAATGAACCCCTCTATTTAAGTTCGAACCACTTTGTTTAAACATGAACCCCTCTATTTAATCAAGAACTCTTCCATTGAATCATGAACCCCTCCATTTAAACATGAACCCCTCTATTTAAGCTCAAACCCCTCCATGTAAACATGAACCCTTCTAGTTAAGCATGAACCCCTCCATTGAATCATAAACCCCTCCACTAATATCCAACAGAGCCCCCTATGGGAAACCAGTGGACGTGTGGGCCATTGGCTGCATCATGGGGGAGCTGGCTGACGGTCAGGCTCTGTTCCCTGGGGACAGTGAGATTGACCAGCTGTTTGTCATCCAGAAGATTTTAGGCCCACTGCCAGAGGATCAGATGAAAATTTTTCTAAAGAACCCCAGGTTTCACGGGCTTAAGGTAAATCACAGGTGTTATAGGGTTAAGGTAAATCACAGGTTTCACTGGCTTAAGGTAAATCACAGGTGTTGTAGGGTTAAGGTAAATCACACAGGTTTCACGGGGTTAAGGTAAATCACACAGGTGTTATAGGGTTAAGGTAAATCACAGGTTTCATAGGGTTAAGGTAAATCACAGGTTTCATAGGGTTAAGGTAAATCACAGGTTTCACGGGCTTAAGGTAAATCACACAGGTGTCATAGGGTTAAGGTAAATCACAGGTTTCACGGGCTTAAGGTAAATCACAGGTGTTGTAGGGTTAAGGTAAATCACACAGGTTTCACGGGCTTAAGGTAAATCACACAGGTTACACAGGCTTAAGGTAAATCACAGGTGTGATAGGGTTAAGGTAAATCACAGGTTTCATGGGCCTAAGGTAAATCACAGGTATCATAGTTAAGGTAAATCACAGGTGTCATATGGTTAAGGTAAAGCACACAGGTGTCATAGGCTTAAGGTAAATCACACAGGTGTTAAAGGGTTAAGGTAAATCACACAGGTGTCATGATGATATTACTTAATTTTTGTTTTAAAAAAATGGCTGCTTGTGTTTAACCCTGGTATTATTTTCAGTTTCCTGCCGTCAAAAGGCCAAAGACCCTAGAAAAGCACTACCATGGAATCCTGACAAGCGTAGCATTGGATTTTATGAAGGTAAATTTAGCAATAGCGCCATGACAATACAGATGTTTGAAGTTATTCCTGTTAGAACCCACAGGTCAACGTAAACTAGTGCCAGCAAACAGCATACATTTTTTTTAAAGAGTTTTTAAGTGTTGATATATTTACATAAGCAAAGCGACAATCAACAAGTATATTTTTTCCCTAATACATTATTTAAAATTTTTTATTTTTTATTGGTTGGCTATTTAGTTAAATAGTTGATTTAAATTTACAATTCATCAAATTAAAGACTTAAATAATATGTCGTATTAATTCACTGAAAAATAAACTAATATTACATGCTTACACAATATTTGTAGTTTTCTTAAGAAGTGCATTTTTTTCTTTGTGCAGACAAATTTTCCTTATGTTAAAGTATTTATTTTATTCATTCATTCTGATGTTTATCTCATTTGTTTAGTCTTGTTTGAGTCTTGACCCTTCTGACGTGATGTTTATTTCATTTGTTTAGTCTTGTTTGAGTCTTGACCCTTCTGACATGATGTTTATTTCATTTGTTTAGTCTTGACCCTTCTGACATGATGTTTATTTAATTTGTTTAGTCTTGACCCTTCTGACGTGATGTTTATTTCATTTGTTTAGTCTTGTTTGAGTCTTGACCCTTCTGAGCGTGATGTTTATCTCATTTGTTTAGTCTTGTTTGAGTCTTGACCCTTCTGACGTGATGTTTATTTCATTTGTTTAGTCTTGTTTGAGTCTTGACCCTTCTGAGCGTGATGTTTATCTCATTTGTTTAGTCTTGTTTGAGTCTTGACCCTTCTGACGTGATGTTTATTTCATTTGTTTAGTCTTGTTTGAGTCTTGACCCTTCTGAGTGTGATGTTTATCTCATTTGTTTAGTCTTGTTTGAGTCTTGACCCTTCTGACGTGATGTTTATTTCATTTGTTTAGTCTTGTTTGAGTCTTGACCCTTCTGACGTGATGTTTATTTCATTTGTTTAGTCTTGTTTGAGTCTTGACCCTTCTGAGTGTGATGTTTATCTCATTTGTTTAGTCTTGTTTGAGTCTTGACCCTTCTGAGCGTGCAGTTGTTGATGACTGTATCAGCCATATTGTCTTCCAAACTGACCGCGCTATTGACCGGCACCCCTGTCAGCCTGTCAACAGTGGACACAGTTCCAGCAAGAAGAGGAGGACGGAGAATCACAGGTGTGTTGTGTGTGGGGGAATCACAGGTGTGTTGTGTGGGGGGGGGGGGGGGAGGAAAATTACAGGTTGTGGGGGAGGGAAAGGATTTCACACTTTGTGCTCAAGTTGTATAATCAAGCCAGGGATTACATCGTGTATATTTTAGCCAACCATTGGCATAACAGGATGATGTGGTTGAATGGTAGAGCTAACGATTGCTAACCTGAAAGTCTTGAGATTTGATCCCAGGCTTGTAGGACGTCCCTAGGTTCACCCAGCTTTGGTGGGTCCCTTAGAAAGGCTGCTGTGCACATTGCTGACCACATTATCCCCTTGGATGTCAAGGTCATTGAAACATTACAAATTGCTTATTATGATCAACATAGCACTGATCATGGTGGATTTAATTAAATCACTAACAGGCAAAAAATCCAGCTTAATAAATTCAGACAATAAGCTGACTTAATTTAAGCCCCAAAATTTAATCCTTTCAATAGATCCAGCTTAATACATTTAAACCCCTATCAGGCAATTAGTTGACTAAATTTAAACCCCAAAATTTCAGGGAAACAAATGTAGAGCAGGATGAAAACAATCCAATGGAGGTGGACCCAACACTGGACAGAAAGACAACTGAGAAAGAGGAAGATGATGAGATTAACTCTAAACCCCTCCACCCTCCTGTCAGCAGTAAATATCTCAAGCAGGTATGTTGTAGTTTTGGGGTACCTGTACATCTTAATACCTCAAGCAGGTATGTTGTATTTTTGGGGTACCTGTACATCTTAATACCTTAAGCAGGTATGTTGTATCTTTGTGATGTTTATACTTGTCATTAAAATGTTCCATGAAATGTGCAATGGGTAGCAGGTTTTAGACAATCTATAGATATCTGCTTCTTGATTTTATCTATTGTAGTGTGTATCAATATTTAGATTATGACACATTATTAAAAAATGTCTCCTAGGTTTATTTTTAGGTGTTTGTATGATACTGTATTTAAAATTATTAATTTAAGCACTTTATACGCTTGGTGATTAAAGAAAGGTTTTACTAACTGGGCCCATTATTTTACTGATGTAGGTTCGCAACCAGACCACCGCCAACAGTATAAGAAACACACTAAAGAGCGCAGATCACACAAAGGAGACAGCTAACAGCGACAACACTTCAACTGACCAGCCCAACCCCAGTACTGACCACACCCCTGCCGTACACCACTTCCAGAGCACGCCTGACCCCACAGCCAGTCTACGTGAATCACAAAACAAAACACTGGCCAAAGACACATCAGACTCCAACCAGCAGCTCATCAGCACGAAACACTCACCAGACGACACACCCAACAGCTCTATACAGCACCTCCCAAACAGCCCTGTACAGCATAAACATGAGCTCCAACCAAAAGACAGTCACCACAGGGCCGGTTCCAGTTTTTCCAAGTCAGCTGTAGATATTTACGAAAAGGACCAGGGACTAACTACCGGGACTCACCAAACAGATTTGACATTTACAGAATCACAAAAAAAATTGACTGGCCCTACCAACCACCATGACAACCACCACCTCTTGACTTTTGCTGACTTCCGAGTGGGCAACATCCTGGACTACACCCCAGCCACTAACCCAGCCAGTCACCCAGCCGTGGGTAAACCTGGTAAAAAAACCAAAGAGCAGAGGGGCGGTGAGGTGGTCAGTGAAAATCTGGAGACCCCAGAGAACATGGAGTGGATCAACACAGACTCCAGGTTTCTCAAACTAAAGACGAGCACGCATCAGGACAATGTCCTGGAGGGACCAACCATCAGATACAACGACACCTCAAGTCCTGATAAATCAGACTGTCAAAGCAAGCAGAAACCAGCCAGTTACTACACAAACACAAACACATACACAGTTAACGTTGATGCTCATGGCATTGCTGTCAGTGGCAATGGTTCTCAAAATGGCAACCGCACAATTACATCATTTTCCTCAAGTAAAATCTCCAGTAGTCCCCCATTAGAGAAGAAAAAGGTAAGTTTTTCAATTTTTAATTTCTTCAGTTAGACGTATTAGTTTTGAAATCACTGCATTACTATATGGCATGTCAGGATATAAACCTTTTTTAGATGGCCAGAACAAATTATCCTGCCGTGTGTAAAATAGAAATAAACGTCAGAACATGGCAGTGATTGAAATTCCCAGTTTATAATCCAAGACATGGCATTTGAAAAATCTCCTTTGAGTTGACATTTAGTGAAGCTGAAGAAGAGTTTACCTGTTTCTGTAAGCTGAGTGTTGCGTGAAGTTGGTGACATGAAAAAAAAAATACGGTCTTATATTCTGTCTTAGAATTTTTTAAACAAGGCATACGATAATGTGTGTCAGACTTTATAAGGACAAATATGTATAATAGTTTTAGTTGTACTTGCATCTTTTTCATCTTATAATTTTTATAAAAAAGGCTTTATAAAATGACTTTTTTTGTCTCTGATCATAAGTATTTTCAGTGATAAAAAACTCTCTTAAATATGTTTTATGCTATTTAACTTAATTAAAAGTTGTTTAAAAAAGATTTACTTTTTGTTATTTATCAAAGTCTTTACTAGATATATTAAAATGGAAGGTATTCTAATTTAGAAGTAATCATTTAGATGTCCATGTATTGTGGTGTTAGGAACAGCTTTCTTGCATTGTAAAAACTTAAACACTCCCACAATAATAACAAATTCCATACAATTTTTGTCAGCACAAATACCATACATTTCCCCGGCACAAATCTATTCCCTTTTTTTCCCTTTGCTTGGCACAAAAATGTATTGCTTTATAAATAAAATAATTTTACATGTTGTATTTTAAAAAATTAGACCAAATTATTTTTTTTCTTTACCGTTTATCATACACAAGCTGACCATTAAAGGTCAGGTCCAGTGGTCCATTGTCTCACCCTTCACCCACCATTGTACACTTCTCCCAAAATAAACTGTTCTCATTGGTCTGCCCAGCCGACACAGTCCCAGTTCCTGACAGCCACAACACAAAATGAGATCCAGCGCATCAAGTCAAGCACCCTGCTGAAAAAAATCAACAGAGAGAACAGGGAGGCAACAAAGGACAGTCTAGCACAGCTACAGCCTGTCCAGACAATCACAGACAAACTCTCTGATGCCAGGGTAGGACTTCTTGATCTCTGACCCTAGGGTAGGACTCTGTGTGACCCCAGGGTAGGACTTCTTGATCTCTGACTCCAGGGTAGGACTTCTTGATCTCTGACCCCAGGGTAGGACTCTGTGTGACCCCAGGGTAGGACTTCTTGATCTATGTGACCCCAGGGTAGGACTTCTTGATCTCTGACCCCAGGGTAGGACTCTGTGTGACCCCAGGGTAGGACTTCTTGATCTATGTGACCCCAGGGTAGGACTTCTTGATCTCTGACCCCAGGGTAGGACTCTGTGTGACCCCAGGGTAGGACTTCTTGATCTATGTGACCCCAGGGTAGGACTCTGTGTGACCCCAGGGTAGGACTTCTTGATCTATGTGACCCCAGGGTAGGACTTCTTGATCTCTGACCCCAGGGTAGGACTCTGTGTGACCCCAGGGTAGGACTTCTTGATCTATGTGACCCCAGGGTAGGACTCTGTGTGACCCCAGGGTAGGACTTCTTGATCTATGTGACCCCAGGGTAGGACTCGGTGTGACCCCAGGGTAGGACTTCTTGATCTATGTGACCCCAGGGTATGACAAACAATGACAGACAAATGTTTTGACTTTAGACCATGACAGCATGTGCTTAATGTAACACATGCTTGGGGTGATTATGTATAACAAAAATTTTCTAGTAAAATATAAAAATAAGGTTAAAATGTCATTATTTCCATAAAATTCTATATCCTCAAGTTAAATTGAAATTGGTTCCTGGACCTGAGTCTATAGAACATCCTCCTTGTATTTACCCAGCTTTGATGGGTGACTAACTCAAGTTAGGGGAAGTAATTATAGCTGGACCTAGAGAACTGACCACACTGTCTCTTTAACAATTAAATGCTGAAATCTTTTGATTACCTATTTGCATGTCTTAGTTCTTTGCATCACACTGACCAGAATTTTTTTTTTAACACAATTTTATTTTTGTGGTACTATTGGCGTAAGAGTAAGTTGATGTAAAAAGCTATAGATACAAAGCCTTGTCTGCTTGTATCCCATAAGAGTTGTTTTCTCTTGACATCTAGATAGGTGTGAAATGATTTGAAGCAATAAAATTTGTTTTCTTTGATCTAGTTACAGGGAGTAGTGGACAAAGGGAGAGAATCTGTTATGACATCACAACAAAGGAACACTAGAAGCAGATTTTTAGGTTTGTGGTGTCTTAATGCTTTTTGTTGTGGTTCCAAGATTAACTCTAATCTATCTTCACATGACTCGGGATTAACTAATCTCTCATCACCTGAATCAGGATTAAATAATCTATTACGCGAGTAAATCACATTTATAATTGTAATGGGTTGATTACTTAAGCTAAAAATAAAAAAAATATGATTGTAATGGGGTTTATTCTCTACAATAACATGATGCTTTTGACAGACAGCCCACTGGATTTATATGAGTCAGGTAAACAAGAAACATGTTTTTATTTCATCTAATCAGAGTTGGTGTGTCATATTTATAAAAAAAACATCACAAAAATTTTTGATTTCAAAAGATGACATATTAGCACAGTTCACATTATCTGCATTGGTTGATTCAAACAAGTTCACATTAACTGCATTGGTTGATTCAAAGAAGTTCACATTTATCTGCATTGGTTGATTCAAAGAAATTCACATTTATCTGCATTGGTTGATTCAAAGAAATTCACATTTATCTGCATTGGTTGATTCAAAGAAATTCACATTTATCTGCATTGGTTGATTCAAACAAGTTCACATTATCCGCATTGGTTGATTCAAAGAAGTTCACATTTATCTGCATTGGTTGATTCAAAGAAGTTCACATTTATCTGCATTGGTTGATTCAAAGAAATTCACATTTATCTGCATTGGTTGATTCAAAGAAGTTCAAAACTTTATTTAAAAAAAAATTCTCAAGTTCATTTTTGTGCTTGAATGTTTTGATAATTTCACTTTTGTTTTTATGTAATATTTTTTAAAACTTTTAAATGATTCGTTACTTAATTTTAGAACAGCCGTTTTATGAAAGTTTTAAATAATTGATAAAATTGTATGATAAAGATATGAATATGTTAAAAATTTATATATTAATTATCAATTGGATGATTCTTAAAAAAAATATTATAGGAGGGCCTATTAATTTTATTGCCTTAGTAAGCTGTTTATTAAAGCCAATATGTTAAAATGAAATTTAAAAAATAATTAGGTAGTCTTTTATTTATATTTGTTCTTTGATAGAGAAGTTTCCAACCTGGCACAGTTTATCAAAGTGTACCATTTTATTTTTCTTATCCAATCCAGCTGATAGAAAAATATATAAAATATTTTTATTTTATATCTTGAAAATATTTTGTTTAAAGGTTATTTAAAAATAATTTAATAATTTTAAAGCCTTATTGCTTTAATCATAAATTTTAATGTCATAGAATAACTTACCCTTTGGATCAAGATTTCCACAGATTAAAAATAATTCTCTCTGCATATTTCAGAATTTGGTCATCCACAGAGGGACATTAGAGACAATCGTTTTTTACAAGCATCAAACAGTAGGCAATATGGCAGATACCCACCATACAACTTGAGAATAGAGTCCCCATCTGTTGGTCCGTTTATGTCATGGTCAGTTTATTTTTATCTGTTGGTCCATTTATGTCACGGTCAGTTTATTTTTATCTGTTGGTCCATTTATGTCGTGGTCAGTTTATTTTTATCTGTTGGTCCATTTATGTCATGGTCAGTTTATTTTTTATCTGTTGGTCCATTTATGTCGTGGTCAGTTTATTTTTATCTGTTGGTCCATTTATGGTTAAACTGAATGATAACTCCATTCAAAGCTTGTATGTATAAACATGATTTTTAAAGTTTTGGTTTTCTACTTGCTAAAATGTTGATTGGTACTGATGAATATTTTATAACTTTAAAAAAGTTAAACTATTACTACAAAAACATTGCGAGTTAGTTATTTCCTTTTTCTAGCTTTTTTAAAATGGTATACTGTATTAAACTATTTTAAAAAGGTTTTTTTTTTCTCTACAGGAGAATGTCTGAAGGTACAAGTCAAAATGTTTACAATCTTGTGAGAAAAAAAAAGAAAAAGTTTGTCCAGGTATTTCATGAATTAACCTTTTTTTTAAAAGCATAATATTATACTTTATAAAGAATGAAATAATAAATTGATTAGGTTGTTAAAATATCAACGTCGAAACTCAGTTAGTTAGAAATAGTCAGGTTGAAAAAAATCATAAAGAATTTAATTTGGCAAACAATTTTTTTCATATCTTGATTTGACACCAAACTAGAAAGTAAGATATCTGAAGCTACATTACTTTTTACTTTACACATGCTAAACAAGATTCATTATGAGATGGGAATGTAATGGCTAGTATCTGTATAAAATAATGACAGTGTGACTAAACTACTGATTCATTGTGAGATGGGAATGTAGTGGCTAGTACCTGTATAAAATAATGAGAGTGTGACTGTCTTGTAACTGATATAATACAATGTTGTCTTGAGGTGCCTGAGCCATTTGAGGATGGACGTCTTTCCCCCTCGGTAACCTTACGGAACACCTCTCGCCTGTCACGCTATGACCCAGTAGACAGAGATGACGCAGACTCAACAGTGGACAACACGAGCCCCAGGGAGCCCTACCTCACCCAGCACAACTTAGTCTCCACCCCCGTGCCACATCAGTCAAGTAATGCAGCACGAGGGATTGACCAGCGAAGATCTTTTAAACAACAGCCTGTTGGCTATAGACGAAATGCTGCCCCTAACACCCCCATTGAAAGAGTAAGACGCACCTTCTCATTGATACATGCAGCAACATGCTTATCAAATATTTTTTAAATACATATATTATATTAGCTAATACATTATATAAAATTTGTCTCTATTTTTATAAGTAAAATGAGGAAAATATTTATTAAATTAGGGAAGAAAAAATATGACTTATGTTGTATTTATTAAGGAAGAATAACATTAGAATGGTGTCTGTTGTTCTTTAAATGTTTAATGTGCCAGTTAATTTTGTGTGTGCAGGTAGGAAGACTACAACCCCTGAGTAAAGGACAAACACAGACGTTCTCCAACCAGCCAGCCAATGCAAACAATGATATCTCCCCCACATCTAAACCCTATGGCAAACATACAGACAACAAGTCAACAGTTGCGTCTTCCATACCCAGCAACACCGAGGACCTTCGTCTGATTGGTTCTAAGTCCAGACAAGGAATTCCTCTGATGGAAGAAGATTCCGGGCCCAGATTGTTTACTGGGTACATAGAGTCCAGGATGGGAAGACGGCCAAGCAAATCAGGGAAGAGCTCGGAACTAAAATAAACAACTGACAACAGCTGATGAGGATGTTCATTTGTGGATACAACTATTTTTTTATTTCTCTGCAGCAAAGATATTTAAGAAAATCTTGCATTTATTTAGAACTGTAAACAAATTATGATCAGGCCAGAAGATATTGTCATTCATTCTAGTGTGTGCATCATTGCAATAGTTTCATTAAATTAATATATAATAATGAAAATTCTTGAGCATTAGATTTCAGTCATTCCATTTTTAATCCGTGAAATGTTTTCTGTTATTTTCAGTAAAAATTGATCAATCTGATTGTTTGTGCATATTAAGTTAAATTTAAATTAGGCCTATATATTTAAAGTTTTTTAAAGTGAATTTTAATGATATCAATCACCAATGCATTAGACATTATTATGCAGTTATGTATGAGAAGTGGTACCTCTACGGTAAGTTTATGGAAACTGGTACTTCAATGGGAAGTGGTATCTCTATGGTTAGTGTATGAGAAGCGGTGCCATATATATATATATATATATATATATATATATATATATATATATATATATATATATATATATATATATATATATATATATATATAATTTTCAATAAAATAATGATGTAGTGGAAGTTAAAAATCTGACCCATTAAACAGTAGCACAGAAGTGATTTTTGTTGTTAAAGAGTTCACTTGGCGGGGGGGGGGGGGGGGGGGGGGGGGATAAAAGATGTTTTCTAATAGACGACTGCCTTGGGCTGATTTCTGCAGCTAGATTAACTAAAAAAAAAACCCAGGTCAGTTATTGATTCGAGTTGTCCACATTTGCTGTAGTTTATACTCATTTTATAAACCAGCCATGCTGTATTGATCTCCACCAAAAATTGAGCGCGATTTTTAAATTTTAGTATCAAGCTGTGTGTCTAGGAACAAGGACCTTGTATACTTTTACAAGTGGTGACATTTGAGTCATATTCATAGTAAAAAATTATTGCCCGCCAAAAGTTGAAAAGTTTGCGTCCTTGGAAAAGTATAGTGAACTATAGTTGCTAATTTTCACGTAACAAAACATCAGTTTTGTTTGATTTTATTTGAAGCTTTAGCTGCAGCTTGTGATTTTCGGTTGTTCTTACTGAACACACGACATAAACTTCTGGAAGACACATGACTTTAACTTCTGGAAGACACATGACTTTAACTTCTGGAAGACACATGACTTTAACTTCTGGAAGACACATGACTTTAACTTCTGGAAGACACATGACTTTAACTTCTGGAAGACACATGACATTAACTTCTGGAAGACACATGACTTTAACTTCTGGTTGGACAAATGACTTTAACTTCTGGTTGGACACATGTCATTAACTTCTGGAAGACACATGACTTTAACTTCTGGAAGACACATGACTTTAACTTCTGGAAGACACATGACTTTAACTTCTGGTTGGACAAATGACTTTAACTTCTGGTTGGACAAATGACTTTAACTTCTGGTTGGACAAATGACATTAAGTTCTGGTAGACACATGACATTAACTTCCGGTTGGTCAAATGACAACTTCTGGTTTGACATTGGACACATGACATTTACTTCTGTCTGAAAACATGGGGTGACACATTTGTTAGCTCGCCCAAAATACCTGGCTTACGGGAATCTATTCCAGAGGAAAACAAAAAGACATTCCATACGACACGCGTTCTTTACAGCAGTAACACATGTACCGTTGTAAAATGTTATACATTGATGTATGGTACATGATCATACAGGCCTAGGTTCTGTGTCGGTCAGTAACGAAACAGATCAGCCAGGGGCCCGTGGTTATCAAGAATTTTTAGTAGGAGCGGCTATCAGAAGTAAGGGAGATTAGTGACTCTTTATATAGTTCTGTATGTTTATTTGATTAAAGAAGATATTTTAAAAAAATATATAAAAATCACGTTTGTGATAAGGTAATAATTTAACTTAAGTTTATAGAAACTAAATTGACATAAAAACGTCATTTAAATTGGTTGCATTTATGAAGCTGGATAGCTTCACTTCCTTACCTCATCCAGCTCGAGTTAATGACACAAGCTATTATTATTTGCACCACCAGCAACTTGTTACCTTCTAATTTGTTTTACATTTTATGGGCTAGGTTTCTCATAGCTTTCTAGAAATAAAAAAAAAAGTATTTTCAAAGAACGTCAGTTGTCCCAACAGCGAGATTTACATAATAGCTCAGAGGCCGTGTCCACACAGGTTACATTTTCATGGTTGTTGTGAAATTGACCAAGGCTACAACTACAAGCACAACCGCTCACATTTATGAGTGAAAAAAATACAAGTCCTTATCACCATGACAGCTAAACAACAGACAAATCAAACAAAATGTATATCTAGGAATTATTGAAATGTACTGGGTAAGAAGTTTAAATAATTATTCTATATAATTAATTCTGTAAAATAAGTTAAATAAGTTGTACAAGAACTAGATGTACTGTTTTGTAAAAACTTTTTGAGCCTACAGTTTCACCTCAGATTCTTTCTGAATGTTGTAATCTGACAGTGTGCGACCATCCTCTAGCTGTTTGCCAGCAAAGATCAGACGCTGTTGATCTGGAGGAATGCCTTCTTTGTCTTGGATTTTGGCCTTGACATTTTCAATGGTGTCTGATGGTTCAACCTCAAGGGTGATGGTTTTGCCAGTGAGGGTCTTCACGAAGATTTGCATACCACCTCTCAGACGAAGCACCAGATGAAGGGTTGATTCTTTCTGAATGTTGTAATCTGACAGAGTGCGACCATCTTCAAGCTGTTTGCCAGCAAAGATCAGACGCTGTTGATCTGGAGGAATGCCTTCTTTGTCTTGGATTTTGGCCTTGACATTTTCAATGGTGTCTGATGGTTCAACCTCAAGGGTGATGGTTTTGCCAGTGAGGGTCTTCACGAAGATTTGCATACCACCTCTCAGACGAAGCACCAGATGAAGGGTTGATTCTTTCTGAATGTTGTAATCTGACAGAGTGCGACCATCTTCAAGCTGTTTGCCAGCAAAGATCAGACGCTGTTGATCTGGGGGAATGCCTTCTTTGTCTTGGATTTTGGCCTTGACATTTTCAATGGTGTCTGATGGTTCAACCTCAAGGGTGATGGTTTTGCCAGTGAGGGTCTTCACGAAGATTTGCATACCACCTCTCAGACGAAGCACCAGATGAAGGGTTGACTCTTTCTGAATGTTGTAATCTGACAGAGTGCGACCATCCTCTAGCTGTTTGCTAGCAAAGATCAGACGCTGTTGATCTGGGGGAATGCCTTCTTTGTCTTGGATTTTGGCCTTGACATTTTCAATAGTGTCTGATGGTTCAACCTCAAGGGTGATGGTTTTGCCAGTGAGGGTCTTCACGAAGATTTGCATACCACCTCTCAGACGAAGCACCAGATGAAGGGTTGACTCTTTCTGAATGTTGTAATCTGACAGAGTGCGACCATCCTCTAGCTGTTTGCCAGCAAAGATCAGACGCTGTTGATCTGGGGGAATGCCTTCTTTGTCTTGGATTTTGGCCTTGACATTTTCAATAGTGTCTGATGGTTCAACCTCAAGGGTGATGGTTTTGCCAGTGAGGGTCTTCACGAAGATTTGCATACCACCTCTCAGACGAAGCACCAGATGAAGGGTTGACTCTTTCTGAATGTTGTAATCTGACAGAGTGCGACCATCCTCTAGCTGTTTGCCAGCAAAGATCAGACGCTGTTGATCTGGGGGAATGCCTTCTTTGTCTTGGATTTTGGCCTTGACATTTTCAATAGTGTCTGATGGTTCAACCTCAAGGGTGATGGTTTTGCCAGTGAGGGTCTTCACGAAGATTTGCATACCACCTCTCAGACGAAGCACCAGATGAAGGGTTGACTCTTTCTGAATGTTGTAATCTGACAGAGTGCGACCATCTTCAAGCTGTTTGCCAGCAAAGATCAGACGCTGTTGATCTGGGGGAATGCCTTCTTTGTCTTGGATTTTGGCCTTGACATTTTCAATGGTGTCTGATGGTTCAACCTCAAGGGTGATGGTTTTGCCAGTGAGGGTCTTCACGAAGATTTGCATACCACCTCTCAGACGAAGCACCAGATGAAGGGTTGATTCTTTCTGAATATTGTAATCTGACAGAGTGCGACCATCTTCAAGCTGTTTGCCAGCAAAGATCAGACGCTGTTGATCTGGGGGAATGCCTTCTTTGTCTTGGATTTTGGCCTTGACATTTTCAATGGTGTCTGATGGTTCAACCTCAAGGGTGATGGTTTTGCCAGTGAGGGTCTTCACGAAGATTTGCATACCTATAATTAATAAAATGTAGATGGTTTTTAGTAATTTAATTAATTGTAACCAGTTAAAAAATATATTCTAGAATGTTGACCTGAACACAACCCTACACATCCAACTGTCAACAGGTTTAGAAAGTATCCTTAAGCTAACATTTAAGTAACATGTAAAGAAAGGTCAACTACAATTATCATATTGGTTCTTATATTGCAAACTTTGAAATAGAATAATGAATGTTAGTTCAAAAGAATCATGCTGGAAACAAAAATTACCTCCTCTAAGTCTTAAAACCAGATGAAGAGTAGATTCTTTCTGAATGTTGTAGTCTGATAGTGTGCGTCCGTCTTCAAGTTGTTTGCCAGCAAAAATTAATCTCTGCTGGTCAGGAGGGATGCCTTCTTTGTCCTGTATTTTAGCCTTCACATTTTCTATTGTGTCTGATGGCTCAACCTCCAAGGTAATGGTTTTACCTGTCAGGGTTTTCACAAAGATCTGCATGATTCTGATTGAAGATCTGTTTGGATGAGAAGAAATTTTAACAACTTTAAAATTTTAATCATATAGTGCACAGCACAGATCTTTGCTACACCAGTTATTGAAATTGAGTGAGCCCCATATATTTTATTTGAATTAAGGTTATTAAGGAAGGGCCTAATTGGATAATGATTGAATTTTGACAATAGACCTACTTTTTTCATTAGGATAGGACTAGATATCTGGACTAGTTTAACTAATAACTAGCCCTATCCATAATCCTAACCCTAAACGTAGCCATAGTTCACTGCGCATGCGCATGCGCACAACTATCTTTTGCCGACTAGGTGGAGGGAGACGGGGCGAAAAATCTTTTTCCGAGTAGTCAGTTCATAATTATATAACTTCGTCTAGGTCAGATAAGGGTAAAATCTTAGTTTAGTAAATTCGGCCAAAACTAGTAATGTAGGAGGGAGTGAATTAATGAATATGTCATTAAATTTGAGTATATTTTCGTATATTTTGAAAAATATTATAAATAATTGAATAATAGATCCCCATTTATGGTTAAATCAATTTAAAAATCCTGAAATTAATTTTTATGAACCCTGTTCGAGCTAATCTAGTAAATTTGCTATTAAAAACAGCTGGATTCTAGCTACCACTTCGTTATCGGTATTAATATCGGGCATGCGAGATTTCATTATCTAGTTGAAAAGGAAAGCAGGGGGGTGTGGCCAGATGCATTTAGACGCATCAGGCGGAACCCCCCCCCCAGGACGCATTTAGTCGCATCCGGCGGGAATGAGTTAAGATAGTAATGACGTCACGTGCGAGCGTTAACTTGGTGACGATGTGCTAAGTGGGGGATGAAAAGGTGGGGGTTCAAGAAATGCGACTCAGCATGCTTTTTACATTTCTTGACCCTTCTTAATAGTTACCAAATGAATGACGCGTCATACTTCTACAGCTGGTCTTTCTCCCACAACCATCCCGTTTTCAGAAGAAAAAAAACCTGACCGTATCAAAATCAGATCGCTGATTTCTACTCAACCTCTCCCCACCACAAATCACAATTTCTATCTGAAACAATATGTTCATATGTTTGTTCTGTAATAATGCACGCTGTCATTACTATTTTAAGAGCGACGTCATTTATGGGCGATCTAATATTGATTTCTTTACTACAAAGAAAGTGTTTAAAAGTTCGACCTCCCAACAATTGTTGTGGTCTTGGATACACACTATTAAGTCTGAAAAGGTTTATTAGTCATTCATGTCAACTATATTAATAAAAAAAAGAAAAACAACTATACAGGCATTATTAAAACAATACTAAACAACATATTAAACCACAAAATCAACACAACAGACATGCGAATAGATAATTTTACAAGGGAAACTACTCTATTATTGTTTTTGAAACATGGCCGCTGCGTGTATTTACTCATTGTTGTCTAAAAAGTGGTAGTTTAAAGTTTATTCGAGGATATTTTTGACTGGTTTGGTCGTGGATTGTGATGTTATTCAATTATCTATTATTTTATGTAAAATATGTCATAAATATGGCCAAATGAAAGAAATATTCATTAGTTTGGCCTACCTCCATCGCACATATATTGTGACATTGCTAGATCTAGATCTAGATCTAGATCTAGCTACGTTGGAATTTACGACGCTAAACTAATAACTAAGGTTTTGGTAAAACTCCATTTTAACGTATTTTATTCCCCCGCTTCACGTTCACCTCCAGTTGAGCGTATTTTATTATAAACACAACCGTAACACACTAAAACGTTAGGGAAACACTAGAGTATATCTACTTATTTTTTTATGAATGTTATTTTTAATTAGAAAAGGTAAAAAAAAAACAACAACATAAAAAAGCATTAGAACTGTTCCAATTAAATATCGTGTGACTGTCAGCGGGAGAAAAATCCTTACACGGTCGTGGGTTCACCGTGAGTTCACATTGACTTTAATTATTAATAATTATCAGCATACGTCATAGCTCGGACAATAGCTGTTTGAAATTATGTTGGCCTCAGTTTTGGGGTCATTGTAAGTTCGTAAATGTTTATTTATAGTATCATGCCTGGGAGATACTTGTAACAATACAAACTTAAACCGTCTTGCAATTGACTTTAGTTACGTTTCGTTTACGTACTTCACCCATTGCCATGAAAATTCTAACTGACAAACATAGCACATTCAATATTCTAAATTTGGATTTTTCTCAAATTTTGTAAATTATCAAAATCTAAAACAAAGTCATTCTCTTTGTTTTTTTATTCATTTGTTAAAACAAAAATACAATACAAATAAATAAATCGTGTTTTCCTAATGTTTTGGTGTGTTTCGGTTATTATAATTATTATAAAATACGCTCAAATGGAGGTAAACAAACAGCGGAGAATAAAATACGCTAAAATGGAGTTTTACCTAAGTATTACCCATGAAAGCATTAAATATTATGATAATTAGTTTCCTAACTAATTTCTAGGCCTAGATCTACCTTTATTTGATTTCACAGCAGAATAACATTTACTCCTGACGCCAGTCTGAAAATTCGTCCTTCCTCTCTGGCAATGGTGATTTCTGCGTTTACGCTTTCTTGGGCTCCTTTAAATGTTTGATAAAAGCCACGTTGGTACAAGAAGCCTGCGATTTGTTTCTCCGTGGCTCGACCTCCACACAACGTGATTACCGCTTTCAATTCTTTGTGTCCTATTTGGAAATCCAAGTCTGGGTCATTTAAAATTTCTTTTTGTCTTGCACATTGCTGACCCATGATGGTGATGCATTATGATGATAGCGTCATAATTTATGACGCTATGATTTGAAACCAAATCACGCGCATGCTCAAGGTAAGTCACGACAACCCCGCGGAAGTAAGATTTTTGTGTGGTTGTTAAGAAGCATTTACCCGGCATTTTGTGACGATGTGTGACGGAGGGGAGGGGGGGGGGGGGGGGGTAAAAAATCATACCTGTCCCATAAGACAGTGCCTGGTTCAGCTAGTTAACTGTCCCATAAGACAGCGTGACAGTACCTGGTTCAGCTAGTTAACTGTCCCATAAGACAGTGCCTAGTTCAGCTAGTTAACTGTCCCATAAAACAGCGTGACAGTACCTGGTTCAGCTAGTTAACTGTCCCATAAGACAGTGCCTGGTTCAGCTAGTTAACTGTCCCATAAGACAGTGCCAGGTTCAGCTAGTTAACTGTCCCATAAAACAGCGTGACAGTGCCTAGTTCAGCTAGTTAACTGTCCCATAAAACAGCGTGACAGTACCTGGTTCAGCTAGTTAACTGTCCCATAAGACAGTGCCTGGTTCAGCTAGTTAACTGTCACATAAGACAGTGCCTGGTTCAGCTAGTTAACTGTCCCATAAGACAGTGCCTGGTTCAGCTAGTTAACTGTCCCATAAGACAGTGCCTGGTTCAGCTAGTTAACTGTCACATAAGACAGTGCCTGGTTCAGCTAGTTAACTGTCCCATAAGACAGTGCCTGGTTCAGCTAGTTAACTGTCCCATAAGACAGTGCCTGGTTCAGCTAGTTAACTGTCACATAAGACAGTGCCTGGTTCAGCTAGTTAACTGTCCCATAAGACAGTGCCTGGTTCAGCTAGTTAACTGTCACATAAGACAGTGCCTGGTTCAGCTAGTTAACTGTCCCATAAGACAGTGCCTGGTTCAGCTAGTTAACTGTCCCATAAAACAGCGTGACAGTGCCTAGTTCAGCTAGTTAACTGTCCCATAAAACAGCGTGACAGTACCTGGTTCAGCTAGTTAACTGTCCCATAAGACAGTACCTGGTTCAGCTAGTTAACTGTCCCATAAGACAGTGCCTAGTTCAGCTAGTTAACTGTCCCATAAGACAGTGCCTGGTTCAGCTAGTTAACTGTCACATAAGACAGTGCCTGGTTCAGCTAGTTAACTAGGGGTCGGCGTGGTCGAGTCGGTAAAGCTCATGGTTGCGAAACCGAAAAGTCTCGAGTTCGAACCCCCGGGCAGATGAGGCTCGTTAGCTGGGGACAGTCACTCTTCTAGGAGAGACAACTCCAAAATTAAACAACTGCTGCTTTGTAGTTTGTTCTTGGTTGGACAAAGGCTATGGAAGCAAATCCAAAAAGAAAAGCAGGCTGAAATCGGAGTCAATGGCCTCAATGGCGCATAACCAGTTGACACGTAATGCTTAATTGTGTTGGAGGCGTGGTCGAGTCGGCAAAAAGCTCATGGTTGATAAATTCGAACAGTCTCGAGTTCAAACGCACTGGCCGATAAATCTCGATCCCCTTCAACACTAATAAAACGAAGAAGAAGAAGCTAGTTAACTGTCCCATAAGACAGTGCCTAGTTCAGCTAGTTAACTGTCCCATAAGACAGTGCCTGGTTCAGCTAGTTAACTGTCCCATAAGACAGTGCCTAGTTCAGCTAGTTAACTGTCCCATAAGACAGTGCCTGGTTCAGCTAGTTAACTGTCCCATAAGACAGTGCCTGGTTCAGCTAGTTAACTGTCCCATAAGACAGTGCCAGGTTCAGCTAGTTAACTGTCCCATAAGACAGTGCCTGGTTCAGCTAGTTAACTGTCCCATAAGACAGTGCCTGGTTCAGCTAGTTAACTGTCCCATAAGACAGTGCCTGATTCAGCTGCTGGTGGTCTGCTCGGCTGGCTTGTCCCAGCTCATGACAGAAGGGCCGTACTCCGGGTCATCAAAGTTGAAGATGTCAAAAACTTCCTGCTGTGTTCTGGGAGTCAGGATGGGTTTAGCTGAAAAACTGCTGGACAAGTTCATGTGATGGTTGATGGACATGTTGACATTTGGCATCATGACATCTAGCCAGTCTGACATGTCCATTTGTGTTGAGGCGTCCACAATGTCACTGGACTCACCTCCCCCCCCCCCTCCCAAGCCCAGCGCGGCCAGGTCTGGCTCGGAGCCATGCCTGCTGGGAGTGTGTAGACTGGCCCCGTAGGGCCCACTTGCATTGCCTTGGTCCAGCAGCTCATTGTACCCGTCATGGCTGGTCAGCTGGGATTCTGTGACCTT